TACTCCTCGTTCTTTTCATTTAGCCAGTTTGCTTTGAAGAGAGCGTGAATAGCTCATCAGCCTGACAATGGCTTTCTGCTCAAGGAGAAGCATTAAAAAAATGCAATCCTCTGTGAGTCATTTGCATTCACTTCCCTGCAAGTGTTTCCTAGGAAATACACATCACATGTAGTGTCCCAAAAATTCCTTTGAAGTTCCTAACACTTCCCAGAGATTGCATTAATCCTGTCTTCCTCCTGAAGAAATTCTGTACAATACCACAATAGTACATGAAAGTTTGCCTTTTTAATACAATGGACTCCTAAAATACTTAATTCAATAAGGTTTAACTTAATTCTCTAAATTTTGTCCAGGATATTGTTATATCTGTTCCCAGGGTAACAACATTAGCATCCTGAGTCAAATTGGAAACCTAACATCTCTATTATAAATTTCAAGTACCTGAATAAATATAGAACAGAGAAATGTCTATTTCAGACCCCAAAATTCCCCTGTAGAGCAAAGAGTCACAGTACACTCAACCAATGATACACAAGTCAGCAGCATAACAGTGTCAGAATAAATGTTCAAGCGCTGATCTGTTAGGACACTGTGTATGGCAGCAACTTGCAAGAACTAATTAACATGTTCATGGGTGTTACGTATGCCATATGTTCCCCACCCAAGTGAAAGTTTCATTCAACAAATAAAAACTGCTTCACTGAATACAATATTTTCCCCTTCATATCATCAATTTATTTAGTACTGTGTACTTTTTAGTACATTAGGTGTAATAGCTGAGACTCCTGGCTTGCTGCAGGTTAATGGTTTTATTCAATAACAACACTTAAGTTTTCAGCTGTGCTATTACTGAAAAGATGTCAACCTGACAGTGTCACTCTGGACTCTGCGGAATCTTTTTTGCAATTAGCTAGCGTCTGAGCTACATTTCCCATTTATTTCAAGTAAATACATTATTGAATCAAGAACTGTATTTACCTTCACATGATAACCAAGTTCTGCTCTTTATCTCCTCCATCCCCATTCTGATTAAGGATGACAACTGGCTGCAGAAGGAAGGAAACTGCATATCAGATTATAGTCTGGTGCCTGAATTTCACTTGATGACTTTGATAAGAGTATCTGAATTGCTAGGCTGCAAAAAACAATTTTTCATAAGTGCCATAATAACTTGCTGACCATATCAAAGACCAATGCTGAATTACAGTAGCTCCTTGTGAAGCTATCCTAGTTTTAACATTATTGTTGTTTGTGTGTATTTGTATTACAGCAATGCTTAGAGGCACAAACCAGGATCAGGGCCCCACTGTGCTAGGCCCTGTACATGTTACATTACCCTTGCTTTGAGAAGTTTGCAATCCATTTTAAGACAAAACACAGCAAGTGAGTGTAACAACTAATACAAGAGAATGAGAGAGAGGGAGGATGCAAGTAATAGGAATAAGATCTTAAGATTTCAGTAAGGCTTTATGGTTAGTTGTCAAATAAAATTTCCGGGCTAGTATCTGTGTAATTCCATTATCCTAATACTGTACCTCAGGCCTCTTTCTTAATCTCTGCATCATTTCTTTCAGTTTTTGTAGCTGTGCATGATTTATGTGCAGTTGGCTTCTCACTGCCTTCTGCCAATCTATATGAGATAATTCCTACTCCAACTGGAGAGGTGTCGCAAGTCAAGATCACAGGTAAAGTGGGGTCCCATTGCACTTACACCTGTGCAACTGACAACGTGTTTAACTGCATCAATTTTTTTCTGACAATACCTCCTAATTCCAAGATTTACACCTTTTTATAACAATTCCATCAGTGATTTTAACAGAGTAGACAATCATGAAATGAATTTTCCACAGTAATTAACTGGCACCGGGAAAATTCATTAGTATTATTACACTCTTATGTATATGTTCCAATTGAGACTGGGGCCCCATTGTGCTAGGTGCTGTACAAACGTACAGTGAGAGGCAGCTCTATGTCAGTTGTCACCGATGATCTCACACTCTTTTATATAGTCCTTCAGTATGTTCCATCTACTATGCCAATGGTGGAATTTCTTAAATATGCTGCTTAGCTTTGACTAGAGTACACAATCTTGAATCAGCTAAAGGAAACAAAAAACAGTTTCTCACTGATTTTGAAGGCTAGCTATTTTGGTGTTTCTGGTGATTCGTGTATCATGTCCTTTCTCTGAACAACAGTCCCCCAAGGTGCCTACATAATCTATTTGGACTGCTTGAGAACAGCAATATTTTTGCATTCTTTGTCCAGTACTTTCAAAATGATTCACCATATTCAGAGATTTTGGCCAAGACAACTTTCCCCCGTAAGCCACACTTAGCAACGTGCTGCACAGTTTAGTGCTAAATAATTCTGCAAGTAAATTGAAATCTCAGCTGTTCTAACATGCACATGGAAACCAAACCTTTCGACTTGCTATAAAATACACGGGTCAAAACTTGTTTTTTTACAGTCTTGGGAACAATATCTTTCAGTTAAGACTTTTTTTGGATTAATAAAAATCTCTTCACACTTAAATAAGAACATTCAAATTAGTTTCTTCTGTTTTAGTTTTTGTTTTGTTTTTTTTCTGGTGCCTCAAGATATTCAGCAGAGTAAACATCTTGGATCCAAAAATTGTAATACTGCTCCCTTTCCTGCTTTCCAATATCCCATTTGTAGGCTTGTCCAGGTGCTCCACGTATATGCTAAAATTCTCTATAGCTTCTTTGAGGCATAATCCGATCTTATTTCTGAAACAGTCCATTTATTGCCTTAGTTTCTTTTGTTCAGAGACTTCCTGTGTTCCCTTTCCTATTCTGAAATTCTATTCTGTTCTGTCCTCCTCACTAAATTGTTGGTTTGGAGTAGTAGATATAGACTCTAATACTGTGTTTGTTAAGGATATGTAATCCAAATATGTGAGCAAAGATGGAGCAGGCATTGTTATGGTTTATTCTAGAATTCTACCACAAAGCTCCCCACCAGGTGAAATGTTAATACAGACAACCAATTAAAAAAAACCATAGAGGCATTGCACTGTCAGATCAAATTCTCAGTGGCTGCTCATTGATCTTGCAAAGAGGACATTGACACCTAGCAATTTTTGAGTGGATCAGTCCTTCTATGGGTGTCACATACATCACACTGGACTCTCTAGCTAGATCATGTGTTAGGCAGGGTGCCTGGCCTAAATGTCTCTGCCATCTAGGGAGAGACTAATGTAGTCCTGTGCTCCCAGGACCTTAAAGTAAATTCACTACTCCTGGAGGGATGAGTCTGGATACTCCGCTTTCTGAAGCAGTCATTATTGCTAGCTCTAAGAAACACACCTCATTTTAGATCCTGAGCCAAAGATCATTCGCATCAAGGGGAGCCTTTACACTGACATCAACAGCTTTGGATCAAGGCTTTAGAACTGTCCTGTTTCAGTGGGGGCATTGTGATTCTTTTATAAAGTCTTCATAGTGGGTAATAGGGATGGGGAAAATACCTTTGGCAGAAGAGCTGATCAGAAAATCTTGAAAAATTTGAAATTCTACAAAAAAAATCTTGGCAAATTTTTTTGTGGAATTCCTCCCCTTCCCCATTTTTTCAACCAGTTCTATTTGTTGTCTTCCCCTCTACCCCCCATCTTTCCCCAGTCCCTCTATTTCTTAATGCTGTACAGATGACCGAAAGTGGAGCAAGGTTAAAACATGCAGGTGAAGAAAAAATGAGTTGGGGGGGGACTGTTATCACCCATAAAGATGTCAGGGAGGGTCCTTAAAAATCTGTGCAGTTGGTTGGGACAAAACTGTATTGCATCTAGAGTTGGTTGACATTTCTGGCATTTGTCTGAAAACAAAAATTGTTGCAAAATATTTTGATATTGTTGAACTGCTCCATTTTTCACCAAAACACCCTGGACCTTTTTTTCCTAATATTTCCTCTTCCCCTTCTCTTCCCTCCACCCTCCCTCCCCCAAATCTGTATAGTAAAAAAGCTACTGAACTGGTTCCTGATATTTTTTGTTTAGTAAAAACTGGGGTGGGGGACTGGTAAGCAAACATTTGTTGATAACCATTTCAATAACTTTTTTGATGTTTTTGATAGACATTTTGAACTTTTTAAAAATATCCAAATAAACACACACAAAAAATGGTTCCATTTTAAACACTTTGAAATCAAAACAAATTCAATTTTTATTGTAAAATTACTTTTGGATTTTTCAACTAGTTCTAATAGAATCCCAGTGGATACCAAGGTCTCTCTCTGCTGAACTCTGAAGAATACACTGTATTGTAGGGCATATATCGCTGCCCATGTAAGGTCACTTGAGACCATTAGTTATTCATTTAAAATAAATAGCTACAATTTAGTTTTCAGTTGAATAGAACATAGTGGATTCGTTGCACCTCTGATTTGTATTGACTTGTATGTTTATACAGTATGTAATCATGATAAATATGATACATTTTTACCAGGATGTTTCAAATTTTATTGTCATTTAACTATAGATACCTCTTAATTTAGTCTCATACATGTACAGTATTAGTGAGAAATGCCCTTTGAGAAGTGGACAGAAAGGCACTCAGTTTATGTTTCTGTGTTTCACAAGACCAGTTTTGGGTTATTTTCAGCCCCACACAGATCTTGACTCCAATATTCTGCTCCACCTACATGCATAGAACTCCCATTGATATTAACAGAAATAACATGGGAAATAGGGTGTTCTGGAAAAACAGATATATATGGAACTTATGAGCACTTAGGCCACAGTTCAGGAAAGCCCTAAGTGCATGCTTAAGTCCATCCCTGTTTTCCTAAATTGAAGCTACAGAGAATACAGAATAGCCAAGTCAAGATCCACTGTGTGGAGTGGAATGGAGAATGTTGCATGCAATGTAATTCTGACAGGGAAACTGGGCTAATTTTGCAAAGCAGCCTGTGATGTATTCTTGCTGCACTTGTTTCTCATTATGTTTCTATGCCTAATTAATCAAAATGTACCTTCTCTTCGTTAGGTGAGCACTCCTCTCAGGGAAAGAATAGAACTCACCAACATGATGAATCCTCCTCACACCTGGGCAATAAATATGTATGTTTACTCTTTTATTCTGTTTTCTGTAACTTTCATTAATATCTGTTATCATTAGCGTGGTTCAGTTAAGCTAAAACAAAAAGCAAAGAACCATAAGCAGAAAAAACTAATGACTTCTGTCAGTAAGAACCTTAAGGCCATTTTGCTTAAACTTTCATGAACTAGAATCACAAATTAGCTGGTTTTTTTCCCATGTTGCAAAAGCAATATTAGAATTTTGCTCCATTGCTCTGGCCTGATATTTTGCCACTCATGTACTCAAAAAGTTAAGATTTCTATATGAGCTACAGCTGATATCATGCGGTAGCATTCTACTAAAATAAGAGTCAATCCTGCACTATGCTGAAATAATTCTAAGAGGTGCTATTTTCTCAATATCTATTGAAGTCAATAAAAATGGAGGTACCCTGTACCTTGCAGGATGGGGCCCAGTGTGTGCATTTCCTTGCTTTGACTATTATTTCCTATTGGGTGGAGCTTTTTTGTATGTGAACCCGAACTAAACATATGTTTACCCTCTGAGTCCAGTGTCTGAAGTCATGTGCCTAAATAAAAGCAGCCAGATTTACAGGAGTGCTAAGCCCTCAACCCCATTGGCTTCACAGGAAGTTGTGTACACTTCAGACCTCTGCATATTAGGCCATTTTTATTTAGGAGCTTCCATGTGGATTAAGGTGCTTGATTTCAGTCACCTTAAATTTGAAAATGTTGTCCCACGTTTTTGAATATAGGAAGGCAGGGGTCTCTAGAGAATCCATCCAGGTCAAAACTTGAAACCCATCAAGGTCTCTGTATTGTTCTTCAAATATAAAGTGTTTTCAGGCAGTCATGTCTTTTCATCTTTTCCCCCTATGGTTGCACCCTTGCCCCTCTTTTCACAGTAGCCACTTGTCATAGCTTTTATTATTATTTTATTATATTATTTTATTTTATTTACTTTTTATTAAGGCAAAGTTATAATAAAATGTTAACATACTACTCCATACATTATTTGTTACTCAGGATCCAGTTAATATTCAAAGAACCTTGCTAAAGATTCTAGCTGGCTGGCTAGGAAGATATCCTACTCTGGGTACACTACAAAGGGTACCCAAATTTCTAAAAATCTATCCTCTTTTTGGCATTTCTCTTGTGTATAAACTTGGTGTGAAAGCTTTGCCATGACAAAGACAGTCCATATTTTACTATACCAAAATTCCATAGGATGAGGAGTCACCTTTTACCACTAATGTGCAAAACAAAGTTTAGCTGCTTGCAAGAAAAAATAAATGTATTTGTCATGCTGTTTAAATACAGAACCTTTACTAGAGCACTAAGTCAGCAGTCAGTGGATCTCTTAATAATTTCCTCCCCAAACTCTCCAGTTCCTGGACATAGCCACCAGATGTGCAAGTATGTTCCTCTTTCACCACAACCCCGCCAACAGAGCACCTCTCTATTAGCAAAAATATAATGGAGTCAAATGCCATCTATATAGTAATTTATAAAAAAATTCTTTATGAGCTACACAATTTGGAGATGTATAACCCCTTTCCTACATGGACACCCAGTCATCCAGATCAGTTTCTTTGTCCAAATTCCTCCCCATTTTTTCATCTGGGTTGTTTTCTTATCAACATTTTTTTTCCAGTCAAAATTGTATACATCTTAGAAATTAAATCTTTTATTTGTTGATTTTATTTGCTCCTGGACCAACTCTTCAAATGTGGTTCAAGGTCTAGATAGAGCTGCCTTGTGTCCAGTTTTCACAATAAAACATTTGAGTTGTAAATATTGAAAATATGGGATCTTCATATTGGTATGATTTCAAATCAGGCCCCAGGAACAGTTGTGAGAATTGAGTAATCTCAGCTCATACCCACACTGAATAGTCACTTTACTTCCTAGGGATAAATTCCTGATTATTAATGAAAGTAGATAAAGGAGAGGGCCTAAGCAACAGGAGTTTACTAAATTTCTCCAAAGCTGCTAAGGATGTCTGGTTGAATGGGTGATTTAATTTTTTTTATTTTTTGGTGACCTACATTTCTTTTTAACCCAACAATTACTGGGAATATCTATATTTGGGCTTCTGTTTTGTTTGAGTTTTACCCAATGTTTGGATGCTCTATTGTTAACTTGAATCATGTCTTTTAAAGGTGATGCATAATAATAATAAGCTAAATTTGGGAAAGCGAGTTCATCCCACATTGTAGGCCTTAGAAGCTTAGAACTCACCTTTTGTTTTTTATGTTTCCATACAAATTTTAATAGTGCATTGTCATGCTGTCTAGAATGGCTCAATGACCACGAGTGCTCACCTCAGGGCAGAAATCCCAAACTGGTAGTGTGCTCTACAATTGTTTCTCCACAATATTTATTCTTTAAAATATTTAGGATTCCTTTACCCGTTTAAATTTATATAGCTGATAACAATTTACTTTGATCCTTTTGGGAATATTTCCTAAAATTTCAGATTTATCACGGTTTATTTTGAAGCCTGATAGCTGTCCAAATTCCAAAGTCAATTGTTCTGTAGTTTCTAGCTAGGCTTCTGGATCCTGCAAATATAACAAGATGTCATCAGAATACAAACCTATTTTGTGTTCTAATCCAAGAAGGCGTTTTGATGCTCTTTATCAAGGGGCTGCTTCTAAACATTTATTGTGAAATGGCTCCATTGCCAAAGCAAACAACATGGGAGATAACTGGCAACCCTGTTTCATACTTCTAGACAAATTAAAAGGAAGGGATCGATGACCATTAACCAAAGCAGATGTGCAAGGATGAGTATATAGGGGCAATATGCCCCTATAAAACTGATTTCCAAAATGAAACTTTACCAAAATCTGTCTGAGGTACTCCCACTCCAGCCAGTCAAAGGCTTTCTCAGTGTCCAAAAAAAGCAGTGCTTGGGAAGAATTGCTCGAAAGCCCATTACAGATCAAATTCAGAGTTCTGAATCTATTATCAGACAGATGCCTGTCAACAACAAACCAACACTGGTCAGGGTGCATATATTTGTACAAGATAACACCCAATCTGTTTGCTAGCACCTTGACATAAATTTTAGCATCCACTTTAATTAAAGAAATAGGTCTGAATGAATTGCACTTGGTAAGGTCTTTTCTTTCTTTAGGAATGACCACAATATTTGCCTCTTTTTCAGTGAATCTGAAATATCATTCCCCTGCAATATTATTAAACTATTAAACAGTTCAGTTAAAATAAGGACCAACAATTGCATTAGAACTCTATAATACTCCCCAGAAAATCCATTGGGACCTGCAGCTTTATTGGATTTTAAATCCTTAATTACAACTTCAACTTCCTCTGCAGCAATTTGCCTATCAAGAGCTGCCCCATCATCCTCTGAGAGCTGAGGCATTTTCATATTTCTCAAATATCTACTTATAAATTCAGGATTTGGATGTTCTGAAGTGTACCAAGTATGGAAAAGGTTAGCAAACATTTCTGAGATCTGTTTGATGCCAGTTACTAATCTCCCTTTTTATTTCTAATCAGAGGGATGGATGATTTATTCTGTTTCTTTGTTAAATTTCTGGCTAAAACCCTATCAGCTTTATTGCCCTTTTCATAATATTTTTGTTTGATATATGTGTTTGCTCAGCTTTTCGTCTTTGTAACAGATTAATCTTCCCTCTTATCTCATTTATTTTCTTATACACTCTTTTTTAGATCCTGTAGAGTTATGTTTACTTTCCAAAACAGAAAGTTCTTTAACCAATCTCTCTTCTTCAAGAGTTCTCAACTTTTTGAGGTATGATGCTATATTTGTAAGTATCCCTCTCATTACTGCCTTTCCAGCATCCCAAAAACACTTATTGATCCTTTTCTTATAATTTTTGTTCTATATATTGCTGAAAATTTTAAGGGGGTCATACAACAAAGTTCTATTATACTGTCAGGCCCTTTGTTTTTCCACTGAGTCCCAATATTTTAAATTAATATATGCAGGGAGCATGATCAGACCAAGTTATAATTTCTGGGTTAGGATTTTTGACCAAATTAGCCAAGGTCCTAGAACATTTAAATCATATAATTCCTAGAATCCATGAGTAGTAGACATCCAGTTTCTTTTCCCACCAGACATACACCCAGGTCCTCATTTTCTCAATGATGCAACAAATTTGCACTTGCTTCTCCCACATGCCCTCTGTGTACATTTCATTGATCTAAAGTGGGATTAAGTACTTTGTTAAAATCCCCCTAGAATAATATCTCCTTCCCTAAACCTTCTGAAATCCCTAAAAAAAGGGATCATAAAAAGAAGTTTGCCCTTGATTGGGAGTTTACTTTTGAAGGAGCCCTTAATTTAAATTATATCTGCTGTCTGTGTCTATTATAATTTCATTTTTTTAAATCTCTCTAGCAAACTTGGAACTCTTCCCTCATCAACTTTATTCATCTTTCTGATTTCTAAACAGTGGGTCTTTCAAGTCAGCCTCAGTGACTGGGGCTTCTCCACCCACATCTATAGTTTGTTTACTGGAGGGGGAGTTACTTTCTTTTGTGGCCATGTCTTTGTTTTCTGGTGGATAGATCTTTGTACTGGAGAATTTCTTTCCTTTCAAGACATCTAGAGATCTTCTTATCTTAAAGCCTTGTTTGTTGCACCTCTCCCAAGATGGCTGCTGCTGCCACACTTTCCCTTTGTTTGTCTGACCTTTACGAAAGGGCCACTGCCACATTTCCTCCCCCACAGCCACAAGCGCACAATTTTAATTAACTAGTTGGTTAAATATCTCTTTATACCTTTCTGCAGGATGCAGACTGGCCTTTTGAAGTGGGACGGGGAAGATAAGAGTACACACAGCTATTTGCCATTTAAGACTCTGCTACCTTAACTAGAAGTCATAACAGCTTCCACTGGAAGCAGTAATGAGCAGCAGTTCTGTAGCACTGAAAAGAAACCTGGTTGCCGTGAATGTATGAAGCTGCTAAGTTAAAAGTAATATTAATATTTCAGAGGCATTTAAGTGGCTTTTGTAGTGTACAGAAAGCTTGATCACTATTACCACGCAAAGAAGTTACATTTTCTTTCTATAATTCATGTATATAATGCAAACATATTTGATATTCATACAGCACGTTTTACTACACTGAGCTTTATATAGCAGGACCATAATCCTGCAAGCTGATCCACATGAGTGATTCAGTGGTGCTCCAAATATGTGCAGAGGTCTAACTGCATGGGTCTGATTGCAGGAATAGGACTCAAACAATCAACAGCACTGAAACGCAGCCATTCCGGGGCTCAGGCCGGCAGCCAATCAACGAGCAGCATGCTGCACAACATTAGGATAGATGGGAATTAGCACTATAGGCACAGAGAGCTAAAGTCAAATAAAATTTAAAAATATACTTCCCAAATGGGCAATATACAATTCTGGGGAATATAGGATGCATAGACTACCAAGCAATACGTGCCAAAGCAAAGGCACCAAAGCCTGCATGAAGATATGGATAGCAAGCAGACAGAATCAGACAAAATGAACCTTTAAATAGAATTAGAATGACTATGTACATTTAGATAAAGTGTTCAGATCAAAATGCATAAACCTTTTTCTTACATAAGAAGCAGTTTCTATCTCTAGTAGATAAAAAGAAAGCATTTAAATTACAGTACCTACTGGTGAAGAATATATTAATGAGGCACCATTTCTGGGGAAGAACCCCTGGTCCTGCAAAGTTCCTCATGGGAGGAGGTAGGGTTCTCAACTTCTTTTGAAGCCAATGTGAGTTGGTGCTCAGCACATCACAGGATAGAGCCCAGAGTGAGTATGGCTAAGAAACAACAAATGAGAAATGCACAGAAGGCTCTATCCTGCTTGCACTGAAGGAAGTGGCAAAACTCCCATTGGCTTCCATGAGTGCAGCAGGAGCAGCTCCTAAACAATGCATTTACTCAATGTTTTTACCGTTCATTTTTGGGGGGGCGGAAATCTGATTGTACAAATGGCCAAACTTGCCCCTGTCCTTCATTCTAAGGCCTTTTGGAGAATAATAGTAAATTCATAGGGTCAGTCTTTGTATGGGCATTGTGGGAAATTTGGTCACTGTGCTCTTATAAGCTGGGGCTCTGCTTGGTGCTCCGTTCGACTTCACCAATGTGCCCCTGATGTAGGCAAATGATTTAAAGGAGCAAGTTTTCTTTCATGAATTTGCAGATTTGGTGAGAAATTACTGCTCAATTGAAATCAATTAATATTTTATAAACTGAGGCAAGTCCTTGTTCTTTCATCAAATATTGCCCTGGGAGAACAAATAATGTGAATTCCTACAGATGTAAGCAATTGAGAATAAACATTCCATCTATAATTCCAATAGTTTTATTTCGATTTTGGCACCATAATAACAAGCTTGTTTGTATGCCAGTTGTTGATACTGACTAATCTGAATAGGGATGATAATCTTGAGATTTTTATTGTCATTTCAGATGTGAAGCTGCCTCTTTTGCCACATTATAAAGGAACTGCCCTCTGAAGTTACAGTTCCACAGGGGACATGTGGATCAGCTGCAGCTTCCTACACACAGGCAGGACATTTGTGTTAATTGTTCTATGATTAGCTCTTAATTTCCATACTTTAAATGCCTCGTGTTTTCTGCTGGAAAGACTCTTGTTTTCTTAATGGCTACATAACTGATGTAGTGTACATATTTATTATTTCTACATATATTAAAGCAGAGAAACTTTCAGGAATGATAAAGGTATTGTAAAAATCTGGTGGTGTGTGACTAATAATGTTGTCTTTCTTGTATATAGAAATGTTTTCTTCCCATACAGGAAGGAATATGTTAATATATTTTCTTATATGCTCAATAAATAGTCTTCTGAAATCATATGTAGTAGATTGCAAACTTGGGGCCTGATCTTTCAAACACTAGTATGCAAAATTATCATTACCACAAGTACGTCCATTGACTTCTGCGGGGCTACTCATAGTAGTAAACACTTCACCAGGATGGGGCACTTGGAGATAATATCAAAGTGGTTTTGTTTTTGTTTGTTTCCATGAAGGGGGCGATTTTACCAATTACATTTTAAATTAGATTTTTTTAAAACACTGTAAATTGCTGCACATGGTCCTTAAAATGCAAACTAATTACAAACAAATATTACAGGGTGTTTTTTTTTTTTTTTTTTTACTGTTCCTTGGGTAGTCACTTTTTGTTATATCCGCTGTAAGAATATTTCTCCAGATTTAATCTGCATTATACAGTGAGGACTCAAAAGGCATTTACAATACTACAGGCTGCATTTGTCAAAGGAATAACAACAGTGATAGACTTTGTTTCTCAAATTTTGAGTAATGCATGGAATTCCTATTCATTATTTATCAACTCAGGAAATTTAATGATTCCTTCCAGTGATAATTACAAAATATCTCAATTTATAAAGCACTTATGTAAATATCTAAATAGTGCTGCTATCTCCATGTGTTCTGCTTTTCTAGATATATAAACCTTTGGAAATTATAATAATTTGATCAATCTCAATCTGTTGATTCAAGTTTGATTTATTTGCTGAAATATGAAAATGAGACACAGGAGTCTCATTAGTGGTCTAAACACAGGATTGAGAACCAAGAATTCTAATCCTAGTTCTTTCCACTATGCATTTGGGCAAGTCACTTAGCTCCTCTTTCTAGTTTTGCTGCTCTGCAAAGTGGCAACAATAACACCTACCTACCAGTCTCACAGGGCTATTGTGCAGATTAATTAGTTAATGTTTGTACAGTACTTTGAAGATGAAAAGTGCTCTTCCGGTGGTAGGCATTATCAGCTCTCTTGTTTTCTGTTTGATGGGTCTTATCCTGTATCTAAGGCCTTGGCTACACTGGCGGTGTACAGCGCTGCAACTTGCTGCGCTCAGGGGTGTGAAAAAACACCCCCCTGAGCGCAGCGAGTATAGCGCTGTAAGGCACCAGTTTAATCAGAGCCTGCAGCGCTGCACGCTCGCATGCAGCGCTGCAAGCTATTCCCCTCGGAGAGGTGGAGTACATACAGCCGCGGCAGCGCTGTGAAGTCCCGAGTGTAGCCAAGGCCTAAGAGACTCAAAGGAAAACTTTTCTATGAAGCACTGTGAAAGCTGGGCACCAAGTCCACAACCAGTGTGCTACAGACTGCAGCTGAACTTCTATGCTTAGATAAAGCATTCTTTGTGCTAGATCATCTGAGTGACTCGGGGGAGTTTGGTTGAGCAAAAGCATCATGATGTCTGTACTTTCAAAAGGTGAGGCCATCTAAAACGCGCAATTTAAGAGTTTATATAAAATATTATACCCACTTCAGCTTCCTGACTGCTGGGGATTCCCAATGGAAAGAAGAATCTATGCCCAAGTTTTCATGTAAATGTAAAATAAGTGTTTCGTCACACATTCTTTATAGGGCAGTTTGAAAGAGCTGAGAAATGTGAATGTGGAAGATTAATATCAGTGATTATGCAAGATTTGTGCAGAAAGTGTCATTAAGTGTACAGATAATGTTAATCTTACAATAAAACTTTGTATCTGTATTAAGAGCCTCTCTTCTCTCTCTCTGCAAATACACAATATATAATCCACACCAAATACAAATACTGGACCTGATCCTGTTTTCCTGTTGCACATTGCATGAGGCAGCCCTCAGGTCCAAATGTTACCCTGTTTCTGCAGCGAAGCATTCTTGGCATTGTGGCTCCAAGGGACACCAGCGAGTTTTAGGCCTTGCGGCTAAGCATGCTGGGGATATAAAGAGCTCTCTTCCTCAGTGTAGGAGAGAGGGGGCAGGAGCCGGGCTCAGCAGCAAGAGAGAGACTAGGAAAGGAGAAGGCGCTCTGTCTCTCTCCTGTCAAAAGGCCTGGGAAGAGGCTTCAGAAGACAGCCAGGCTAATTTCACAGGCTAAGTTACCCCAAGAAGTGAATGTTTGTAGCAGAACAAAGGAAATATTCTCAGTGGGACAAGCTAGTGGTCAGACCTGCCCCTGCTTCATTTTTGAGGGGCCAAGGCTTTCTCTCTGGATGACCAGTAAGGGGTACTTGAGTTGTACGATGGAGAAGATTGACAGATGCTTAAGGAAGTGCTGTGACCCAGGGAAAGAGATTAGAAGAGTCCCTTTTGGGACTCTGTTAACCCAAAAGGGTGACATTTAATGGTCTAGCTGGAGGACAAACTACCCACCAAGGAGAGAAACTAGGCCTTTAGCTTAACAGAAAGGTAAACAGTTACACACACAAAACACTCATGGGATCTCTAGGTGAGATGCAAAATCAAGCCCAGTGAGATGTGTCCCAGTAGATCCAGTTTGATACCTGTCAGTAAAACATGACTGAAATAGAAACTAGGCCCGAAGGGACCATTAGGTCATCTAGTCTGACCTTCTGTGTAACCAAGAGCTAGATCCAAGGCATGAATCTTGCCTGTATTTGTTCTGTGTGGCAATATGAACTGAATTCAAAAATTTCAACAGTCTGAACATAATCAGAAGGTAATTAATGTGCATTGTTGCAATTCAGGAATAAAGGACATTTTTGGCTGGCAAACAATTTATGTTCAGCTCCTTCAAAGATGTATTGGGTCTTGAGTCATGATTAATAAAGCACTTGGGAGTCAAGTTTGTCTGGGAGAAGAATGCTCGGTGTTTGTATTAGGCAGCATTCAGCTTGGGTCCAAGTGCTTATCCATATAGTGTCTACATTTCATATGGTATCTGCATTTCTTTGGGTTTGTTCCTGCCCGATTTGGCAGTCTTGTAAGAAGTATTTTTTCTAATGTTGACTTGAAAGTTCTGGCTAATCCTGCCTTTTAGAGTTTATGCTCATTTTTAGAAACTCTTTGGTTAACACATTTGAACAGATCCCGCTTTAGAATGTTGATTTATTATTGTGCTGTGCCGGCTTACTGGAAGGATGGGCCATAACTTAGTAGTGTTAAACAGTTGTATGTGGTTTACCAGATATAGGCACTGCCCTGGGTTGGAGATGGTGCAGATACACAGCCCCAGCAGGAGCTCTGGGAGACATTATGGACCAGATTTTCAAAGGTATTTAGTTAACTAATTTGCATTGAAATCAACTGGAGTTAGGCACCTATATATATTTTTGAGGATCTGGCCCTGTGCTACAATGAATGCAGGGAGAAAGCCACCCTGCAAAATGTACTCCATTCAAGGCAAGTGATAGCCCAGCCACCTCTCTGTCCTTCCTAGTCTGAGTCCACACTTACACTTGCCTGAATGCCAAACTGGGATTGTGTTCAGCCCCTGCATGGGGAAGGTTCCTTGCACTCTCTCTCCCCCCCATTTGCACACTGATGCCAGGACACAAATCAGTCTTTAAACCTCTCATTTCATTCAGTCCATATGTGAGCACAGATCACACCTGCACCTCTGTGTAATGCCCCCTTCTTTAGATAAACATACCCCTCTCATTCCCCTTAATCCTACCCTCCTCTCTTTATGCTTACTACTAGTAGCATCTCTCCCTATAAGAGACTTTCTTCCTCATCTATGATCTTGTTGCTATGGAAAGAAAACAAACCAAGAATTCTCAAACTCTCTCTCTCTCCCTCTCTCTCTCTCTCTCCTTAGTAGTTTTAATTTGTGCTGTATAGTCATATCTGTGCTGGAGAATAACACTCTGTATTCCAGTTTCATTCAAGACCTGCCGTACAGTTATCTTTACAACAGCCTTTTTGTACCTATTGAAAACATAAAGGGCCAGACGTCAGGCTGTGCTAGTGCCAGCCTGCCAATGCAAAGTTTATTTGTCCCCTGGAAAATGCCCCCCCCTCCCCCCGTGAGAGGGAGGATTCCTCAAATAACATAGAGCTACCATAGCAATGCCAGTACAATGGGCCTGGTTGGCGTGTGTCTGTCCACCAAAGATCCCCAGCTGCTGTTATGAGTCCTTGGGGCCATAGGCAGCTGGTACAAGTTAGAACAGCACTCAGGGGACTGGCACTGCACAGAGCAGTCTCAGAACTGAGGGAATACAAAGGGAGCTCAAAGTTTCTTTTACAACAGAGGATCTGACTCAAAATTCTTCTAAAAAGAAAAAAGTAAACCTACTGTAGAGAACAATTCTATGCTGGCAGGCATGGGGGCTAGATGATTTTTTTCATTTCTAATTTCAATTATTCTTTACAATTTTTCCAGATGTGGCTCTATTCGATAGAGAAATGACTATGCTAATACTGTTGTTGCTGTTATTAACATCTTGTAGCTCTCTGATTAGATCAGTGGGACATTTCTCTGTTCACTTGTAGTGAGTCGGTGTGGCTCCCCTCCTGCCCAGAGGAGGGAGCACTGGAGCAGACACCGGAGTGGGCGGAGCCACCCCCACCTGTCCCCGCCCCCCGGAAGTCAAGGGGCGGGACAGGAAGTATAAAGGCTGGCCGCCAGAGCTCAGTCAGAGCCCGGCCACCGCAGGGAGCAGACGTGCGGCCGGGAGCTCCCGACCAGGATACCTCTGAGGCCCGAGGATATTCTCCTAGCTGGCCGGAGCTCCCCCGGGCTCACTACGACGAAGAGCCGCCGGAGCCCGTCCGTTCCCGTCATTGAGGGGAGCTCTTGGAACTCCCCCACAGCAACCCCGACGGTGAGACCACTCCAGAAGCCCTTCGGCCCTGCTGTTACCCGGAGGAACCGCCCGAGTGCAACTGGCCGGACTTCCCGACGGAGCTGCCGGACCTGCCACCAAGCCCCGGCCGGGAGGAGCCTATGCAGGTGGACTGGACCCTGCCCGGTGCCACGGACGAGGTAGGCCCTGAGGGGGAAACTGGAAGTAGCCCGGGGGTAGCCGACCCCGGTCAGGCTGTCGAGGCATGCGAACCCATGTCAGTGTGTTTCGGTCAGGATACCCCACTGACCGGCAGCGGCAGTAACCGCTGTTAGGGCCCCGGGCTGGAACGCAGTGGAGTGGGTGGGCCTGCGTTCCCCCCTGCCACCCCCACACACGGGTGGCAGGCTTCCCCCTCACCCAACGCTCTGGTCTCGCCGCCAGGGCTTACCCCGAGTGAGTGTTGCTCAGCCCCTGTGCAAGGGGGCCTGCGCTCCCTAACTGTGTAGCTGCTCCGCCCCTGCTTCCAAGGGCCTGAGCAGTGTTTGTGTGTGCCCCGCCCTGAGCCAGGGCCTGGGCCTTCCCTAATTGAACTGCTATTGCCCCAGCCCCCTGCACCAGAGGGCCTGGGCTATTGAACTGCTATTGCCCCAGTCCCCCTGCACCAGAGGGCCTGGGCTATTGAACTGCTATTGCCCCAGCCCCCCTGCACCAGAGGGCCTGGGCTATTGAACTGCTATTTACCCAGCCCCCCTGCACCAGAGGGCCTGGGCTGTTGGACTGTGTATTTACCCAGCCCCCCTGCACCAGAGGGCCTGGGCTATTGAACTGGTATTGCCCCAGCCCCCTGCACCAGAGGGCCTGGGCTATTGAACTGCTATTGCCCCAGCCCCCCTGCACCAGAGGGCCTGGGCTATTGACTGCTATTTACCCCG